TTCTACTGAAGACTGGGTTGCAGAACTGGCTCCAGCTGGTACCTCTTTCCCTCTTCTCTACAGCTTAAAATACACACTCTGCTCCCAATCAATTAAGAACCAATCCCCTCCACCCTCCCAGCTCCCAAGAATTAGCACAGTGATTAAATACATGGGTTTTACAGTCAGTCTCATTTTGAGTGAATTTTGCCACTCAATAGCTCTGCTTTCATTTTTCTCCATCTGTAAATGAGGCTAATGGAACCTACTATTCAGAACTGTTGTGAAGATTAAATGAAATATTGTATGAAAAGCACACAGCACGGTGCCTGGGTGCATAGAAAACTTTTAAGAGCTGTTAGCTGTTATGACAGTGATTATTCTGAGATTTCTGTGAGTGATGCCCAGTGCAAGGAGAGAATGACATGACCACCAAGACCTCCTTTGGCAAAACCCTTTGATGTCAATTTTTAAGACTTTATTTCAAGTCCCCTGCTTGGGACCAAGCCTAACATCTTTTAGAAGGATATCTCTTCCGGGCCGGGTACAGTGGCTCAAGCCTGTAATCCCCAGAACTTTGGGAGGCCAAGGTGGGTAGATCACTTGAGGTCAGGAGTTCGAGACCAGCCCAGCCAACACGGCGAAACCCTGTCTCTACTAAAAATACAAAAATTAGCTAGGCTTGATGATGCATGCCTATCAGGCTTGATGATGCATGCCTATAGTCCCAGCTGCTTGGGAGTCTAAGGCAGGAGAATTACTTGAACCAGGGAGGCATATGTTGCAATGAGCCTAGATCATGCCACTGCACTCCAGCCTGGCCAACAGAGCAAGACCCTATCTCAAAAATAAATAAATTAATTAAAATAAATATCTCTTCCTTTTCCTCTTTCTGTTTTTCCCTTGACTTTTTCCACTTCTATCTCCTCCAAAGACAAGCCAAGAAGCGTATGCCCTAATTAAAGTCACGAAGGTGAGATTTTCTCTTACCTTTCACCACATAGGAGGAAGCATTGCTGTTGCTGTCATTCATTTAAAGCAAAATATGATCTAAAATTACAAGAAAGGAGAACTGTGGGAAGTCCTTTGCTCCTTTTCATGATACAGGTAGTATATCCTCAGCTTCTTCAGACTTCAAGGAGAAAACTCACTTTATTTTCTCATGAGATATTGTAACCCAGCCCTGGGTCTCATTTGTGTGGAAGGATTAAGAGATTGCCAAATTTTCTTTCAAGACTAGACAGGTAGTTTTCATACTCCAAAGTCAGTTGGAGCCTCCAGCCCATGAATATCCTGTCTTCTAAGGTAGTAAACAGCTAGGTAAATGAAATCAGAGCCAAAGTCTAAATCAGAACTAAAGCAGCTGAAAAAGTACTACATTTCCTGGAAGCTGTGCTTTTTGAACTCCTGAAGGGTAAAGGGAGAGCAAACTAAAGGGTTTGTTTTAAAGACCAAGTCAATTAACAAATTGTACTAGTTTCCTAGGATTACCCTAGCTTTAAGGACACAATGTCTCCTATCCTGAGAAACCCCTCCGTCTTGTGCACATTGGAACATTTTGTCACCTTAATATCGAGACTTGATTAAAGTTGTAGTTGATAAAATTAAAATTCAGTGGAAAAGTGCACTCATATGATTTTCTAAATGCATCTTTAATAGAAATAGAAAAATCTAAATGTAAGTGGAAAAAACATATTGACTAAATGTCCTCCTCAGAAACTACCATTATCTAGGCAAATCCTGGCCACTCTGCCCATGTAGTTACAGTGCTCCATTTGGTAGCACTTACTCTAATTGCAAACTTGATCCCTAGAAGGAAATAATTAGCCTTTACAGGGACTCTTTTTGAAAACCCAAACCTTAAAGTGACACCAAATATCATATAGGCCAAAAAAGGAGAAAGTTTCCAAAGGAAGCTGTTTAACATCTTCAGCGATGGGAGGTCAAGGAAGGACAAAGGGTGAGTTGACCTTAGAGGGCAAGGCTGATGGCATGGTGGGGATGGAAACCAGATTCCTGGCCTGGCCCAAGTAGGGAAGCAAGGGAGAGGAGCCAGATTAGCCTAGACCAATTACGGAAGATATTTGACAGAGAAAGGAAGTAAGGTAGTCAGACAGTAGGTAGGGCATTAGCAAGGTCGAGGTAATTCTGTCAAGATGGAGGAAGGCTGAGTATGTTAAAGACAGAACAAAAGAAACCTGGGAAGAAAGCTTACTTGGGGCTCATTGTTAGTTTTAGCAAAGGATAGGAATAAACTACTCTTGTCCCCCTCCATCCAGACTTTTTGCTTGTTTGTGTTTTTGAGACAGAGTCTTGCTCTGCGCCCAGGCTGGAATGCAGTGGTGTGATCTTGTCTCATTGCAACCTCTACCTCCCAGGTTCAAGCGATCCTCCTGCCTCAGCCCCCTGAGTAGCTGAGATTACCAGAGTGCACCACCACATTTGGCTCATTTTTTTTTTTGTATTTTTAGTAGAGATGGGTGTCACCATGTTGGCCAGGCTGGTCTTGAACTCCTGACCTCAAGCGATCTACCCACTTCGGCCTCCCAAAGTGCTGGGATTACAGGTGTGAGCCACCACGCCTGGCCAATCAAGACTGTTCTTGACAAAAGACACTTATCGGGAGCATCTAGGATTCTCCCCTCTAAACAGCCATGTTTTAAGGCCTCACTTAAGACACAACCTCTTTCCATGTACTCTCCACTCTCCTAATGACTCTGCCCTTGCAGAGAGGGTCTGGACTCTGGGAAAAGGCCAGTGTGCATGAAACATTCTTGCCATCACAAGGCAGCAGCGAAAGAGAAAACAATCCAAGAGTCAGAAAACAGAATACATTAAAAGGCTTAAGCTGAAAAGGTTTTGGAAAGTTTATAGATTAGGTCCATGACATTGGATAGATCTCTAAGGCAAGAACGTTTATAATAGAGTTTCTGTTCTCCAAACTATGCTGTTGTTTTTGCTTTTAGAAAAACCCTGCCATTTGCAGGGCCACTCCTATCCTTTGCAGGACCTGGGGAAAGGTTACATGTGAAGGCCCACATACCACATGCCTAAATATCTAAATGTGCTACATCACCCTACCAGATGTGGCCCACTCACACTCCTTGTCCTAACCCGGGTTTCATCCAGCACAGAGAGGAGTTTCGTGGTTAAACAGCTGAAGTCCAGCTCCTGTACAACCCCCAGGCCTAGGGAAGCCCATCTCAACAACTTCCTTTGAATGACTATGAAAGACTGCCCCACCCTCCCCATCCAGGCTTGAGACTATTTGCATTGGGAATTCAGGATCCTTCATACGTGTGTTCTGGAAAGTGGAGGGGCCATGCCCCTTGGCCTATCAGAAACTTAACCACAAGGGGTGCAGCATGGCGAGATGAGGGCCAGGTTAGGTGCCCATGGCAGGAGTCCTTCTTGCCTGGGTTGATACTTGGGAGGATCACTTGAGCACAGGGGTTCGAGACCAGCCTTGGCAACATAGCCTGTCTCAATCTGAAAAAAAAAAAAAAAAAAGATAACTTTCATGAATCTTTTTTTTTTTCTTTTCCGAGACAGAGTCTTGCTCTGTTGCCCAGGCTGGAGTGCAGTGGTGTGATCTCAGCTCACTGCAACCTCCACCTCCCAGACTCAAACGATTCTCCTGCCTCAGCTTCCAGAGTAGCTGGGACTACAGGTGTGCTACCACTCCTGGATAATTTTTTAATTTTAGTAGAGATGGGGTTTCACCATGTTGGCCAGGCTGGTCTTGAACTCCTGACCTTACGATCTGCCCACCTCGGCCGCCCGAAGTGCTGGGATTACAGGTGTGGAGCCACTGTGCCCAGCCCACCTATCATTTCTATAGTTCTTTACTAAGCAATTTCTTTGAACATGGAGAGCACAAAGAAAAAATTTTTAAAGCTATATGGAACACAATTTCTTTCCAAAGAGTTTTCTTTTATCATTGAGTTCTGATTTGACTTTCTAGTTTTTAATATACTGGCTTTATTTTGTTGTATTGTGTTGTGTTGTGTTGTGTTTTGAGACAGCATCTCACTCTGTTTCCCAGGCTGGAATGCAGTGGTGCAATCTTGGCTCACTGCAGTCTTGAGTGATCTTTCCACCTCAGCCTCCTGAGTAGCTGGGACTACAGATGTGAAACACCACATCCAACTAATTTTTGTATTTTTTGTAGAGATGGGGTCTTATCTTGTTGTACAGGCTGGTCTTGAACTCCTGAGCTTGAACAATCTGCTTGCCTCAGCCTCTGGAAGTGCTGGGATTACAGGCGTGTGCCACTGCACCCATCAACATGCTGACTTTCAAAGAACTCATAGACAAGGATTCTTACAAGGCTTCCTACTATATTCACTGTATCAGCACATGGCAGGCTGAGGAACTCACAAAGAATTGCCCCACTGAGCAGACTTGCTCACACCAGGCTTTGGGGCTTCAGCGAGGCCTGAGCTCAGGATCCTATCCTGTTCTTTTCATCAGATAAAGCAAATTACAGATGGCCTCCTGACAAAGGAAGAGTACAGTTCTCCAAGGACATTTAAAGTGGAAGTATAAGCTGGTCAGGGTGGCTCATACCTATAATCCCAGCTACTCAGGAGGCTGAGGCAGGAGGACGGCTTGAGCCCAGGAGTTTGAGTCCAGCCTGAGCAACATAATAAGACACCATCTCCAAAAAAAAAAAGTATAATTTTCTTTTGAGACAGAGTCTCCTCACTCTGTCACCCAGACTGGAGTGCAATGGTGTGATCTTGGCTCAGTGCAACCTCCACCTCCCAGGTTCAAGCAACTCTCCTGCCTCAAGCAACCACCTGAGTAGTTGGAGATTACAAGTGTGCGCCACCATTCTGGCTAATTTTTATATTTTTAGTGGAGACGGGGTTTTGCCATGTTGGCCAGGCTGGTCTCAAGCTACTAACCTCAAGTGATTCACTGCCTTGGCCTCCCAAAGTGCTGAGATTACAGGTGTCAGCCACCATGTCTGGCCATTTTTCCTTTTTAAAATAATTTTAAAAATAACAATATTATTTAAAAAATGAACACCATGAATTCGCATGTCATCTTTGTGCAGGGGCCATGCTAATCTTCTCTGTGTCGTTCCAATTTTAGTATATGTGCTGCTGAAGTGAGCACAATTTTCTTTTTTTTCAATGGATTCCAGCTTCTGCAGAAGGATGTATAATTTTCTGATGACTTCTAAAAAGGAACAGCTACCAGTTACTGAGACATAATCACATAAGGTGGCATAGGACGGTGATGCCTACTCCAGTCTCCTTACCCAGGCCGAGTTTATATTTGTGTTACAAGGAGCTGCAGGATGGAGAATTTGGGGTTGGGCTTGAGAACAGTGTGAGTACGGGTGATGATTACGGGAATACCTTCCACATGGGGAGTTAGCAGTCCTGCCTGTGCTCTGCCTTGCTGGCTGATTGAGAAGTCAGTTACCTTTGCATCCATTTCCTCCTCTGTGGGGGGAGAAAAGGGTCAGCCTAGATATTTTGAATATTTCTTATAAAATTCTGAGTGTCTCTGGGAGGGAATGTAGGTGGGGCTACCCCGAGCCATTTGAACTCTTGGGAAGTCCTTCAGAGAGAACACAAATTACTCTCGCTGTTCACTTACTCACATTTCACCTGTGGTGTCAGAGCCTCGGGGACCCAGCAGACCTGGGGAACATCCTCTAGTTACAGCATGTACTGCCCACAGCCTGATAACCATCAGTCGGGTGGATTTCCAGCCTCAGATGTTCAGCTGCTCTCTTTGGAAAGACTAACTCCTCATGTTACTGCACGGAATATGGGTCCCCAAATAACAGCCATAGCGCCTATCAGATAGAGCTGCAGTGGGTCAGGTGGTGCCTTTAACCAATTAAACGCAGTTTTCGGTCCCTGAAAACTATTTGTTTCCTTATCAACCGACTTGAGGGACATTGGGAGTCTTGGTAGGTTTCCAGGCTTTTGTAAGTTCGGAGGAAATTATTGACTTAGCATAGATGTGAGCGCAAATAAACGTTTTCCAACAGCAAGATAAATAAGCATTAGAGTTGGCCACTGGACTGTGAGTTTTGCCTGAAACAGCTGCCGTTTTCTTGAACCCACAGAGCAACATGTACTGTATTACTGGGGATGTGGTTGTTGTTTCACGGGGTTGTTGTGAAGATAAATGGGATACCTAAGATAAAACACCTGGTATCCCACCATAACAACCCTCCTTTAGACTGGCTGGGCACCTGCTCAAAAGCCTTCCTCAGGGGGTTTAAAACCTTTGTTTCGGTAGGTCTGATACCGGTGGGCTGGGGGAGATCCCCTAATTTCAGTGCGACATTGACACCAGCCAAGGTCTACGCTCTAGACACTGTCCAGAGAATGAGTTCAAGGACAACAAAGAAAATAGTGACAATATGGAGATTTATTGCAAAGGGGAAAGTACACTCAGGAAAAGGGATTGTGGGTATACTACAGAGAGGGTCACACACAGGGGGGTTTGGTGGCGGCTACCTTCATGGACTTCTTTAACCAAGGGGTGAAATATTCGTGAAAATTCCTGAAAAAGTGGGAAGATATCTCGGGACTGTGGTGCCACCCATTTTTGCTCCAAATATGGGTGTCCCCGGAACTGTCACGGCACTGGGGTGATTTAGGATGTTAATGAGCGTATAATGAGGTCCTAGGAGAAACCTAAGTCAAATCCAGGATCACGTTGGGTCCAGCGGGTCTTAGCCCGCTTGGTACACACCCTGGTTTTCAGGGTCTTCTCAGCCCATAGCCTCTAGTCAAGTGAAACTGCTGCCTGGAATTTTTTCTTCTCTGACCACCCTGCATTACTCCTGTCTCATGTTCAACACGAAACAGGGCCTCAGGAAATATTTGCCAAATGAATGAATGGTTGCCTGCTCTTCTCCTGCTTTTGTTTAACCACACTTTTGTCCTAAGCTCCTATGATGACACCCAGGGCCCCCAAGTTCTGCCAGTTCTACCACGGTGTGAATGCAGCGCGAGCTGCAGGGGAGCAGGTAAAGGATGAGTAAGGGAAGCGGGCGGATCCGATGCATTAGAGAACAAGAAAAAGAAATCCTAAGAGACTGGGGGCCAACAAAGAGCCCGACGCGGGAGAACCCACCAGGGGGGCCCCGGCCCCCACATCCACCGCGGGAACGACCTCTCAGCCCAGCGCGGTCCCGGGAGGCGGCCAGCCCCCCGCTAGCCGCCCCCGGCCCCGCACCCGGCGCTCTCCGCAGCCCCCGCCCCCGGGGCGGTGCCGGGAAAACGCGGCGCCTCCGCGGGTCACGTGGGGGCCGCTCGGGCGGGCGGTGCTGCCGCTTCCCGATCGCGCCCTCCCAGCGCCGGGGACGCGGCGCCCGCGCTCCCGCCCGAGCCCGGGGAAGCGGAGACAAGGAGGCGCCGCCGCCCCCTCCCCGCGGCTGTCCCCCGGCCGTGCGCCTGCAGCATGCCTGCCGCGGGGCCGAGCGCCGCCCTCCCCCAGGAGCTCGCGGAGGCTACGCCGCTGCCGGCCGCTGGGCCGCGGCTGCGAGGGTAGCGGGGCCGGAGCCGGGCACGCTGAGACGCCGCGCGGCGGGCGGAGAGGGAGGAGGAGCAGGCATCCTCCGCGGCGCGCGGGCGGCGGCCCTGCTGCCCGGCGAGCCCATGGCCCGGCCGCAGGGAGAATGCGAGCTGCCCTCCACGAGCTCGGCGCCCCACGTTGCTGCTCCCATTGCCAAAGCCGCCGCCGCTGCCCCCCAGCTGCGGGCGCCTGGCCGCTGGCTGCGCTAGGACCCGCAGTCGCCGGCCGCCGAGCACGGGAGGGCAGGCAGGAGCGGGAGCCGGAGGGCCCGGGGCGCGGCGCGGCATGTAGCTGTGGGCTCCCGCGCCCGCGCGAGGCTGTCGGCCTGGCCCCGCCATGGCTGGGTTGGACAGTGGCAACCTGAAGACGGCGAGGCTGTGGCGGGACGCCGCCCTGCGCGCCAGGAAGCTGCGGAGCAACCTGCGCCAGCTCACCCTCAGCGCCGCGCGGGCCTCCCCGGGGGCCGAGTCCGACCCGCTCGAGTCCCCCGCCCCCGCCCAACTCGTGCTGCCTGCCAACCTTGGGGACATTGAGGCGCTGAACTTGGGGAACAACGGCTTGGAGGAGGTGCCCGACGGGCTGGGGTCGGCGCTGGGCAGCCTGCGCGTCCTGGTCCTGCGCAGGAACCGCTTCGCCCGGCTGCCCCCGGCGGTGGCCGAGCTCGGTCACCACCTCACCGAACTGGACGTGAGCCACAACGGGCTGACCGCCCTGGGCGCGGAGGTGGTGAGTGCTCTGAGGGAGCTGCGGAAGCTCAACCTCAGCCACAACCAGCTGCCCGCCCTGCCCGCCCAGCTGGGCGCTCTCGCCCACCTGGAGGAGCTGGACGTCAGCTTTAACCGGCTGGCGCACCTGCCCGACTCCCTCTCCTGCCTCTCCCGCCTGCGCACCCTGGACGTGGATCACAACCAGCTCACTGCCTTCCCCCGGCAGCTGCTGCAGCTGGCGGCCTTGGAGGAGCTGGACGTGTCTAGCAACCGGCTGCGGGGCCTGCCTGAGGATATCAATGCCCTGCGTGCCCTCAAGATCCTCTGGCTGAGTGGGGCCGAGCTTGGCACGCTGCCCGCCGGCTTCTGCGAGCTGGCCAGTTTGGAGAGCCTCATGCTGGACAACAACGGGCTGCAGGCTCTGCCTGCCCAGTTCAGTTGCCTGCAGAGGCTCAAAATGCTCAACCTCTCTTCCAACCTCTTCGAGGAGTTCCCTGCCGCGCTGCTGCCCCTGGCTGGTCTGGAGGAGCTCTACCTTAGTCGCAACCAGCTCACCTCCGTGCCATCCCTTATCTCGGGCCTGGGTCGGCTTCTCACCCTGTGGCTGGATAATAACCGCATCCGCTACCTGCCGGACTCCATCGTCGAGTTGACCGGCCTGGAGGAGCTCGTGCTGCAGGGGAACCAGATCGCGGTGCTGCCCGACAACTTTGGCCAACTCTCCCGGGTGGGCTTGTGGAAGATCAAGGACAACCCACTGATCCAGCCCCCCTACGAGGTCTGCATGAAGGGGATCCCCTACATTGCAGCTTACCAGAAGGAGCTGGCTCATTCCCAGCCGGCGGTGCAGCCCCGGCTCAAGCTGCTCCTGATGGGGCATAAGGCTGCAGGAAAGACTTTGCTGCGCCACTGCCTCACAGAGGAGAGGGTGGAGGGCTGCCCGGGAGGAGGGGACAAGGAGAAGTGCTACCCACCTTCACCCCCCCCTGTGAGCAAGGGCATCGAGGTGACCAGCTGGACGGCCGATGCCTCCCGGGGCCTGCGGTTCATTGTGTATGATTTAGCTGGGGATGAAAGTTACGAAGTGATCCAGCCTTTCTTCCTGTCCCCGGGGGCCCTGTACGTGCTCGTGGTCAACTTGGCCACCTATGAGCCTCGCCGCTTTCCCAGCACCGTGGGCTCCTTCTTGCATCGGGTTGGGGCGAGAGTGCCCCACGCAGTGGTGTGCATCGTGGGCACCCACGCGGACCTGTGCGGGGAGCGCGAGCTGGAGGAGAAGTGTCTGGACATTCACCGCCAGATCGCCCTGCAGGAGAAGCACGATGCGGAGGGGCTGAGCCGCCTGGCCCAGGTGGTGGACGAGGCACTGACCCGGGACTTCGAGCTGCGCTCCGCCAGCCCCCACGCAGCCTACTACGGCGTTTCAGACAAGAACCTTCGACGGCGCAAGGCCCATTTTCAATACCTGCTCAACCACCGACTGCAGATCCTCTCCCCGGTGCTGCCTGTTAGCTGCAGGGACCCGCGCCACTTGCAACGTCTTCGGGACAAGTTGCTCTCAGTCGCTGAGCACCGAGAAATCTTCCCCAACTTACACCGAGTATTGCCTCGATCCTGGCAGGTGCTGGAGGAACTGCATTTCCAGCCACCTCAGGCACAGCGACTGTGGCTAAGCTGGTGGGACTCAGCGCGCCTGGGCCTGCAGGCGGGTCTGACCGAGGACCGACTGCAGAGTGCCCTCTCCTACTTGCATGAGAGCGGCAAGCTACTGTACTTTGAGGACAGTCCGGCGCTCAAGGAGCACGTCTTCCACAACCTCACCCGCCTCATCGACATCCTCAATGTCTTCTTCCAGAGGGATGCTTCCTTGCTGCTGCATAAGCTGCTCCTGGGGACCAGTGGAGAGGGCAAGGCGGAGGGGGAAAGCTCCTCGTCCATGGCGCTCCCCACCCCGAGCCAGGAACTGCTCCGCGCCACCCAGCTCCATCAATATGTGGAGGGCTTTCTGTTGCATGGGCTCTTGCCAGCCCATGTTATTCGGTTGCTGCTTAAGCCTCATATCCAGGCCCAGCAGGACTTGCAACTGCTGCTGGAGCTGCTGGAGAAGATGGGACTCTGTTACTGCCTCAATAAACCCAAGGGCAAGCCTTTGAATGGGTCCACAGCCTGGTACAAGTTCCCAAGCTATGTGCAGAATGAGGTGCCCCATGCAGAAGCCTGGATTAACGGGACCAATCTAGCCGGGCAGTCTTTTGTGGCTGAGCAGCTGCAGATTGAGTATAGCTTTCCTTTTACCTTTCCACCTGGGTTGTTTGCAAGGTACAGTGTCCAGATAAACAGCCACGTGGTGCACAGGTCGGATGGTAAATTTCAGATCTTTGCCTATAGAGGGAAAGTTCCTGTGGTGGTGAGTTACAGACCTGCCAAGGGAGTCCTGCAGCCAGACACCCTGTCCATTGCTAGCCATGCATCACTACCAAATATATGGACCGCATGGCAAGCCATAACCCCCTTGGTAGAGGAACTGAATGTCCTGCTTCAGGAATGGCCTGGACTGCACTACACCGTGCACATTCTTTGTTCTAAGTGCCTTAAGAGAGGATCGCCCAATCCACATGCTTTTCCAGGTAAGCAGAGAGAGGGACAAGGTTCTTCTCTGATATGCTGTAAGATACGCTTTTGGAGATACTTGTTTCTCATTTGGCAGAATGTTTACTTAACTTCACGAGTTCTCCAGGAAAGCTGTGTAAGGGAAATAGAGGGAGATTTGGAGACAAGCAAAAGGCAGCAAGTACCTGAGCTTTATGAAATGCAGTTATAAGAGTCATCCTCTCCTAATAGACTGACTTCCAAGATGTGTTTCAGTCATATTTACCATCTCCTTTCCCCTCTTCTCAATGTAGCCCACATTTGGTGGAAGGAATTTCAGGTGGTTGAGCAGACGCTGGGCAGTATCTGATGTTAGCCTCTTTCTGAGCCTTGGCTAAAGTGGATTAGACACATCTCGAAGGAGTAGATGAGTTGGAGTTTTTTAACTCAGTTTTTAAAAAAACAATTTTTTGTGGGTACATAGGTGTGTAAATTTATGGGGCACATGAGATGTTTTGATACAGGCATGCAATGCATAGAAATCACATCATGTAAAATGGGATATTCATCCCCTCAAGCATTTAAGCACTGTGCTCACATTGAGTGTAATTAAAAAGTAAAAATTACTGCTCACTTTTCTTAAGAAAATTCCAGAGAAAATGTTTTGAAATTGGAGTGAACGATGGATGAGTAAAGACAAAAATTTCAGGCTATAATGCATGACTAAGTCCTGGGGCTGCTGCTCCATTCCACCCACTCAGGCATGGAAGATAGATGACG